TTGTTGGACTGTACTTCAGAGGCGAGGGAAATTCTTGTCCAAATAACCGTCGACTATTTATTTTATTGTAAATTGATGTATGTAAAAAAAAATCGAGAAACAACAATTGTTATTAAGAATTCCCGGAGGCCACGACTGCAATAGCGCTGGCGATCAGACGGCAATGATCATCACTTCCCCAATGCCGAAGTCTGTTAATTAGTTAGAACTTTCCTTATCCCTGAAGCACAATTAAACAAATCCAGTTTCTTAGATAAATTAGAAAATTTAGTTATGCGAGTTCGATTTTAGTATATCTAAGTTAAACTATAAACAATTATGAACTATTTTTAAACCACATTGTTAAAAAAGCATGCTATAGGTATGTCTTATGTTTCAAATGAGTCTTTTTTAATAAATCAAATTCTCTATCTATCAGTTTACAAAGGTACCGTATAGGTATATATATTTGTAACAGTATTCAACTCCCAGAATGTTTTATTTAATCACTGGAATATGTAAATTGTTATATTCATTAAGTTTTTTGAGACATCATAAATCAAAACTTAGGCCCATAATAAGTTGCATATTTTGTGCAGGATTTATCTAGAAAAAATTTGAGAAAACGTAAATTTTGGTCAGCGCTTTATTGTGTTCATCAAAACTTTAAAACGTTTGCAAAATTGTAAGTAAAATTCTAAGATGTTGCTGTAAAATTTTATTTTTTTTTCCAAAAGCTAGAGTTCGAAATTAATAAATAAAAACAAATTAATAAACCACAATTTAAAAAATTGTCCTATAAAATTCAAACATGATTTCCTCTGTAAAATTTTTGAAAGATGTCATAACATTTTTAATACATTTCTATAACACACTTAATAGTGTGGCCAGATTTGGATAAATAAGTGAATCACATGTAAAAAATTGTAAAATTTTGAACCAATTACATGCCAAAACTCTAAATGAAGAAATGACTTGAAGTATCTTTCAAAGACGTTAAACATCATGTACGTTAAAAAAAAAGAACTTTGATAACAGTTTCAAAGTTGTCAAGCGTCATCCTTGTGAAATATTCATTAAGTGTCCTCAAGATTTTGTGAAATTGTACTTAGTATTTATATCTAAAATAATTTTGTCATTTGTTTTGGTTCTCTTTTTTCCTAGCAATCATTTCAACTTAGAACAAAATGTCACAACTTTTACAATTTAATAATTTTTTTTCCGAATGTTTTGGCGAATTTGTTCCATATACATATTAGAAACACAGTGTATATTATTTCAGTACAAAAAGTGTGTGTAACTTCAATTAAAAATAAATTTGATGATAACTATAGGAAATACGCACCTACAAATCCTTACAATTTTATTCAAAAAACCTATTAAATAAAACTCAAAATAAACGTGTCATCAGCAGATCCAATAATGAACAATCATATCGTTTATTCGTACATTATAAACGTATATGCAATTACCCTCACAAAAATTGAGCAATATTTTATTTAATAAACTTTTATTAAACGATCCTGTGCTGTTTGTGATGGAACACTAACAACCAAAATTGTTTAGTAGACTGTTATTTTTGTGTATCTCTGAAGGCTTGGGTTTTATTGAACGTTAAATCTTGAGCAGTCCGTCTTGCCTCGTCTTCACCTATCTCTACAAATTTTATGTTTATTTGTCTTAATAATTAAAGATATTGTCCTAAAACGTTTACAGCCAAAATCTTTCTACCCAGTTACTTAGTAAAAAAGTTGCGTTTTCAACCGTTTTTTATTCTTACAAATGTAGCAATTTTTCAAAAATAGTGATTGTGATTTAGTATGTAAACAATTTTATTTATCAATTAGAAAAAAAAAACTAAATTATTAAAAATGTATTTATTATAACGTGGAATGGCTTAACATGTACGTGTTATTTAACCCGGCGCCTCCACCATTTTCTTCCAAACAACGCTAATTAGTCAAGTTTCGGAGTTCAGGTTCACAACCTCGCCAAAAATAAATAAAATTCCTGTGCGGAAAGTTCGCACAACGTGTATGGTTTTCGAAAATTTATATTCCCAACTTAGGGTATCAAGCACCCTAATTTATTCCAAGCAGAAATTAGACCCTAAGCGGGGAGGTTATTCGAAGTCCCATCATAATTAAGTCTTCATTGTATATTGTGCTAATTTTACATCTTCTCCTATTTAATGGTGATCTAAGCCTTATTATCCACTCGTCTCGCTTTATGCATTCAGAGATTTTCCACTCCCCTATCTAATTACGAATAATGTGAACTTTTTGCTCAATTAATTTTCCAACTAATTAACTTACTAGGTATGCAACTGATTTCCCGAAGCCGAGAAAGCTTTATTTATACAATTTTATGGCGCACATTAATTATAACGACACAGGCACTTCTCGGATAAATTTATATTGATTAACATCCAGGTTCTTGTAGCCGTATCTTGGCATCGAGAAGATCTTCAGATCTACTACTACGTTCTGTAGTGACTTCCCAGCATGTAAAATTAGCTCCTTAAAACACGCTGTAGTTTCAAATGCGCACGGTAGAGTCGTTGGGGCAAGCTTAAACTTCATTCTGCACACGGGTGACAGTAGAATGCAAAATTAAATTTTAAAAATGCAGAAAAGGGCAAAACAAAATGCAGCAGTTTTATTTTATTTAAAAAAAATACTCTCTCAGTATTAAATTAAAGACGATTTTGTTTCGACGATGAAATAACAACATCGTTATTTTTTTAAGACCACTGACATACACAGAACACGTTAAAAGTATGTACTTCAAATATTTTGACTTTTTTTAAGTTTTGATAAAATTTTTAATTGTTTCACAAAGTTTTATTAAACATAATTCTCTTACAAACGAAGGTTTTCCCAAAGTAAAAAAAATGTTTTATCCTATATGCTAGAGCGTGTTTTCAAAACAACTTTATTTAACTTTTTTTTTTTAATCTCTGCTATTTATTAGTAGATTGACAGTAATTTGCAGCACTACGGACGCATTTTATTTAAAATTGTTTTCCGTTTGTAAAAACAACTAATCTGTTTTTCCGGTTTTTTATACCGAAACAATTTATATTTTAGTTAACGTGTGTTAAATTACTTTTACGTTTATCGTTGACGTATGTCCATAGTCCTTTTAACATTGATTTGACATTTAAATTGATTTTAAATTGACGAATCGTGATAACACGACGTGCGTTTGGCAGCCAACTCCAAACGTGAAAACGATTATCTTTAGATTTGTTTTTAAATAAATTGTTTTTTTTATTTTCAAATCAAAATTATAAACTACCTACAAAATATTATTATTTATAACAGATGGAGAATAGAAAATTTGTAACACTCTAGGGCAAATTAATTTTGGTTTTTTTTATTTTCAAAGCAAAATTATAAACTAACTACAAAATATTATTATTTATAACAAAATGAAAATAGAAAATTTGTAACACTCTAGGTCAAATTAATTTCCCATTCATAAGTGGTGCACAAATTAACATCTGTTGATGTAAAGCACATTAAATATTTAATACGATTTTCTGCATACTTAATGTGTTTTATTAAAATGTATAACGTTGCCGAAAAAAATTCAATTAATATTAATAAAATCGTTTTTTCGTCAAGTAAAATTTTCCAGTTCATAAAAAACCATAATTTATGATTTTCATTTTTAATCACAGTTTGTTTTATTTATAAAAACACGGTTCCTCGTTTTAATTTATAAGAAAGAAAAAAGTTCGGCTTTTCTTGCTGAATGTTTATGAAAACTTTGTGAAATATGTTTTGCCAAATATGATTTACCATCAGATTTCAATGTTGAAGTTTAATCTACTTTAAACTTATTAAAGTACAGTAACTCTTTTCGTGTAGGGGAAGCTGGGCCAAAGTGGTGTTTCATAAGGTTTTATGGATGCAGTTCTCAGCATCCGAAAATGCATCCTTGACAATTTGTGTAACATCGTCCATAAAAAATTCGATTTCGAACTTAAAAGTGCGAAATTGAGCAATTTTGTTAGAATTTTGTTTTATTTAATAGACGAGAGAAGACGAGATATAACATACATTTTCATATGATTAGTTAAGGTTAAATTAGTTTTCATGTTTATGAATTTGGTGCCTTGTGTGATTTTTTCCTCGATTGCGCCTAGTCAAGAAAGTCATTTTCGCACGTAAAAAGTGTACTAATTTCACAATATCAAAATTTTTACATAATGTGGTCACTATTTTTGACATTGGGGTTTCAACAGATCTTTAAATTTTGAAGTTCTCTGATTAAATAACGCTGTTGAAATCTACATTTTGTCAAATTTTGAACATCTGAGAATATTTTAACACTGTTGAAAATAATGATTTGATACTACGCATGTTATCTGTGTTATTGGAAAAAAGTAGTTTTGAGTAATTTTGCTGCAGCTTGCTTCGCCTTTTTCACTCTTGAAGTAAATATTAACTACAGTGCGACTGGTGTAAGCGATTCTAGCCCATTGTTGCGTGAGTCGAGTAGATTTTTAATTTACTAAATTTATCAGCAGGCCCTTCCATCAATAAACCACTAGTTTCCTCTCAAAAACTTTGGAAATGTCCGTTTAATCAAGCCAAATTTACATATAAATAGTTTTACTTTGAGTTTATGCAGAATTTGTAGTTTAATAAAATTCTCTCTTGATCCCTCTGCGTAATCTATACTTGATTGATAATAAACTCGCTCCAGCTCTCTATTTCCCGAGCCGACTCTTCAGTTTGATCTTAATATCAAACTAGTGGTTACAAGCCAACCTCGTAGGAGTGTTATTACTTATTAGCACCAATCTGCAGCAATTTACTTATGCAACAACCCACTCGACTAGTTATATCCTGTTCCCGATCAATCGATTAGTCAAGCCCCCTTTAGCCCCTAGTTGTTGCACCTTTTGTTTAGTGTGTTGATTTACGCCCCGAAGGTTCCCTTTAGATGTTCGGTGTTAGTGGATGTTAAAGACTTAGAATTTTAAAAATCACTTGATTATGTTCATACAGTGTATTCGTGTGCAGTGACGAAGCGAACAACGCCTGTTCGACGGTGGACCTGGAAGAATGGCGAAGACCTCGGTCTGAGTCTTCGACGGGTGCCGATACGGATTCTGTCTATATGCATAGTACAGTCTGCGTCGATCATCATCGACGGAAACGACCGGTTAGTAATATAAATCTAATAACACACGACACCAAATGTGTTGCCAGATTGTCGGCAGAATTGATGCGGTTTTTCTTTAAATGGACGCACATTACTGCTTTCTGCTTCTTGATGTTCGCTTACTTCGAGATATACTTAAAAGTTCGATGGACGTGTAGATCGTTATTTGTGGGAGGAAATCGACAAAAATATATAGTGGGTTGATAAAGTTCCGTACAAAATTCACAATTCCATTTTCTAAAATGACACTTATTACATAAAGATTTATTTTTTGTAACGATTTTTTTTTCGATGGCAACTTTTTTTTCTATTGCGAAACCTGTTAAATTTAACTTTTTATTGGCCAGAAATGTATCGGTTAGAAATAAGAAAAATAATAATACAGCACATATTTATTGCTGAGGCATTGCTTCACCTGCCTCACAGCGCAAGCTGCCTCTGATCTCGACCGGCACTTTGAGTTTTACGAAGGGTTAAGGTTACACTGTGATGGAATACTCAATGTTCTAAATAATATTCTCTTTTCCAACGAGGTTACTTTACTTTACTTGATTCCCACAAAATGGTGCACTTCCGAATTATTACATGGAAGTGTGAGAGTATTAACAACTGTTTTTTTAATGATCAGCTCACCAGATTTAACACCCGTTGAACATTTAAGGTACTTTTGTTGTTTTATTGTAGAATTTAGGTTCAAATTTTTGTACGACTGTAATAGGATTTTTGAAAAAAAAAACTTTTTTCTACGACCATTTGACTATTAAAAAGATCTGTCAGAATCCAAAAGAAAAACTTGAGTTTACCATTAAAAAAAAATCGTTGATGCCATTTATAAAATAAAATTGATCTGTATGAGAATTTTTCAAAAAAACTTAATTTGACGGAATTATGAAATTTGTGTGGAACTTTATCAACACCTGTATATTTGATCGAACTGAATAAATAATGAAGAAATATTTCGTAAAAAGCGTAAACAAATTGTGGAAAATATTATTTTGAAATTTTTCCTAACACTGCATTTTGAACCACTACTTCTCATTACATGTACGCAGTGGTGTATTTTTTTGGATTAGTGGTTGGAAACATTCAAAATTATTTTATGACAAACGGAAAGTGGATAACCACTGATACCTGCAATATCAGTTGGAACAAATTGTTATTTAGTGTGTCCCAAATTTTATTTAACAGACATTAACTAAATTTTTATTAGGGTTATGGATATTCTAACGAGTGAAAAAAATCATAATTGTTGCTCATGAAAGTGTTTTTTCAAACAAGCAAAGCCTTAGATTACGTTTATAAATGCTAACATGTCACACGTGTCGGTTAATTGTCAGCAAATGTCGGTTTTGCAGCTAGATTTTATTTTGTTAGTGGAATTATTTTTTCTTATTTTTTATTGAACTGTTTTGTTGTCAGAAAATGATGTGTCGAAAAAAGAAATTCGGTTCTATTTTTGAATTCGGGGTGACAGATTTTTTACACGTTTTCAGTTATAGACAATGACTTTTTCAGTAGAAAATAATTACGAAATTTTAAGTGTCATTAACTTATCTGAATGAAAATGTTTTATCAAGCGTTTTATAACTCTTATAAAATTCGAAAATTTCGAAAACACGAACCTGAAATTTTAAAGTGATCAGAAAATATATTTCTTTAATAAAGAAAATTGTGAGCAAAAAACCAAAATATGTATCTATACATAGATGTTTTACGATAGTTTACTATTGCAAAACCGATGACTGTTGACAACAAAGAGGGCATGGGATCGGAATTAATTCAGCAGAACCTACATTATTATTTTAATAGAAAACTGGATGTGTTTTTTCATTGTATATAGCACAGGAAATGTATTTTTAATAAAATTTTCGAATGATATTAATTTTTTATATCATATCACTACTACTATTACAGCGCAGTCAAATATTCATTTTCAAGTGACGTAAACGTTACTTAAAATAATGTATGATAATTTTTAACGTATAATACTTCTCCCACATTTATTTGATACACGCTGTACGAAAAAATAGAAACAATTTTCGAATGTAGTAAAAATTCAAAAGCAAGTTTCCGATCACATTATTTTTCAATTTGAAGGATTTATTTTGACGAAATATCATAGACAAAAAAATTATAAAATAACGGTAACGGAAGGCAGTGCTTGTTGTAGGTTATCAAACCAAAATGTTACTAAAAATATTTTATATAAAAATAAAAACCCGTGAAAAGTGAGAAACAAGTCAAAATCTGTTAAAATGCATTATTTACTATAAAGTGATGAAAGAACTAATTAATTTATGCTAGTTAAAAATGTTTAACACTAAAAATTCCGAGGATAATTTTAATATTAATAATATTTTCATATTTTAATATTTTATCAAAAATCATTAAAATATTAACTAAATATGGATAGATGTGTGACCCAGTATCTCTAAAACTGTGCTTCTTAATTTATTGGTACTTTAGAACAATTTAATTTATTATACACGAGAATTAAGGAGAAAAGGAAACGTTAATAAACATTCTAAAAAAAATAATGAAGAAAAAAAGAAATATTTTATACAGGTTGCTCTAAAAATGACGCCCTAAATCAACGATACATGATTAAATTCACATGTTTAAGTTCGAGAAACATCATTAAAGAATTCTTTACGTCAATTTGGCGTTCAATTACAAAAACAAAATATAAATTAAAAAAAATAAACTTTGAAGGGGGAAAAGTATTTTTTAAATGAATTTTTTTCTGCTCCATAAATAGTGCTTAAATGTGTCATTGAGTTGGTGCGTTATTTTTGGACACCTGTATAAATATTATTTGAATTTTTTAGTTGTTATTAACAATAAAAATTTTTATAATTATTTTTAACACTATTTTTGTACCTAATCATAAAATCATATTAAATGGCAAGTGAGTCAGTTGCTATATCAAAAAATTGCAAATATAAACAATTGCCAATTAGAAGATATTTAAGTAAATATTTCAAACTGATTGCTTGATAAATATTTTTTCTCTTTCGATGTGTTGTAGTAAATTGATAGTGTGTAATTCATTACCAACATATCAAACAAGTGTAAAGTAATGGATCACTTAGTGTAATAAAAAAGACTTATTTGATATCACCTTAAACCAATCCATAATGCTTCACATTAATAAATGTGTACGTGTTAGATAAACAAGATAAAATGCTTGTTTATACTCTCACCTTTATGTGTATAGTATTTTAGTATTCTATCCTCGGAATAAAATATTAACTAAAACTGGATTTCAAATTAAACGTTGACGAATATACCCATATCTTTTTTCACGTTCTTATTATACGCTTTTTGCCGCTTCTTAATTTCAGTGTATATAATTACCGAATTTTGTTAATCTTCTCAATTTTACTAAAGAATTTTGAATATTTAAACCGTTCTAACGATCTTCCACGTATTCGGAAAATATATATTCTCCTATTTAAGAAAAATATATACTTAGGTACATATTCAGATTACGCCAACTAAAATTAAAATTTGTCTGTTTATTCTTCCCATCTTAAAAATTTGTTAAGTACATTTTACTTGGCATGTGTAATTTTAACATTATTATAATCTATGACGGACAATTTTAAAATTTTAGTAAATTAAGACATTAACATTAACTTAGGGATCACAGAATTAATTGCGGAATTGTCTTCACTTCAGTGGGATTTTTAATTTTTTGCAATACTGGTTTAAAGACAATGTCAAGGAAATTCAAAGAAAATTTGTAATACGTTTAAAATAGTAAGGGAACTGCAGGAAAAGTGCCACCCTTTTTCTGAAAAACAAAATTTAAATTTATTTTGTATTTTCTAAAGTACATTTAGTATTAAATAAAGCGCAACAAATTCATACAAATTATAACCATGTAGATAACTAAGCGTTGCCACGTCGTATTTCAAAATTTTAGGAAATTTGTGACAATTATTAAATATTAAATGAATATATTTCTTTCTTTATCTTTGTTGCAATGAAATGGACAGTATTTTTTTGCAAAATTTTCTTATTTGAAAGCTTGAACACTTATCAGTTTTATGAAATTTGAAACTTAATCGAACTAATCGGATTCATAGTGAATGGTGAGGCTTTTGCTTATTGTGTGTATAATCTGTACATTATAAGCTTTTAGAAATGTTTCTTGCATACAGTGATCTATGAAATTTAAAAATGTTGCAGATTTGCCACTTCTTAGTAATGATAGACATTTTTAAAATTTTCATTAATGTGATTAATATGTCGTCTGTGAGAACAATGACGACGTTCGAACTATTGTTGCCATTATAGTTACACAGTCCAAAGGAGGCGGAACAAATCAGTACCCAGTTGGAGCTTAGAATCATTTATGAAAACCCTGTATAGTGTATATAAACTACATATATAGGATGATCAAAAATGGCGTACTAACTCTGTGACACGTTGTCAAGAACTGTTAATTGAGCAAAGATATAGATAGGTATTTAAAGTTTAATATCTCTTTTTGATATTGCATCATATTTTAAATCACTACTTAATGTTGGTTTCACGAAATCGATTGGACTTTCGTTATTCAAAGTATTTTTGGAAGTATCAACATGTCTTTTATCCTCATTTCGAGAGTATAGAACGAAAACCCGATAAGTGACGAAAATGTGAAAACCTACTTTTATATTTACTTGATTATAAGACTCTCCTCTCTGTTCAAAAATATATTCGATTGCTTGCTTTTCTTATTATAATTAATTTTTTTCAGAAAATATGAAAAATCATTTAATCTTATCACAATAAATTTGCCCTTGCCCTATAGGCCACAAGTAAATATTCCTAGTTATCTAAGTGTCCTTGGTCTTAATGTTTAAAAAAATTGATTAAATAATTCTAACTTTTTCGAATTTTCGTCACTTATCGGGTTTTCGTTCTATACCTTCAACTTCTTGCATTTATAATATCACAAAATAATTTTTAAATGTTCACAATGAATCTGACAACAGTGGCTAATTTTTCGC